TAGATTATCACTACTTATGAAGATCCGATAAGCTAAAGGTCCGTGCAACCAAATTAGGGCACTAATTACGATTCTTGATTAGTTTTAACTCGATAAACACATTGTAGACACTATCAGCGTTATGACGTCGGTGGAATTGAAAAATTCCCTTTTAAATGGCTTTACTGTGCTTTTCAGCTTATTTATAGAAAAGCTCAAAATTAGGAGCTATTATAAATTGGTTCTTACGTAACGTCTATTTCCAAAGCATTTCCCTTGGTCCTTTTTTTTAATGGTGTCCATGCAGTTAATTCTTTAGGAAGTTATATCGGCATTGTTTTTAGTTTCTAGGTCTATAAAGGCTTCTAGATACTCAGTATTATCCAGACCTACGATTTCGGCAACAAACTCTTCATTGTAACTTAATTTGGGATCAATATGTTTCCGTAAATCTGTTTCAGAAACATTAAGAATTTTGTGGGCCTGAACGTACGCTTGTTTTAAATTATACTTATAAGGCCGTGGATACAGACTCTGAATTTCAAGGGAAATTAGTAATGTCGTTTAAAACAAGAACGTTTAGCTGGTATCGTTTGTTTGCATTTAAGTTGCAACCAGGAAGCATCACGTCACGTCTTCACCTTTGAAATTTGTTTGGCTTAGCATTTCATAGCTTCTTGGGCTCATTCATTCTGGAAAACAATATGTACACCGATTTTACTAAAAAATTAACCCATCTATTTTAGTGTGCAAATGACGTATCATTTCAAACGCCAAATTTTACATAATTTTCTGCATTTACAAAATAACACTAAATAAAACAACGATATAAAATATCTTTGACTCAATTTACTCACATGAACTATAACAAAATTAATCACAATAATTTATTTACCCAAAACATTATTTCAAAGGCGACAAGCAAATAAACCTTAACGTGGCACCATCTAGTAAATTAAAGCGAAACTATTTAAGTGGTTTGCATAGTTCGAACTACTTAATGGCATAAAAATCGAATTCCTGTAAAATATGGGGGTAAGAAATTTTCACGGTTGATGATACCTTAGACGTTTACGGGAAAAGTACTTTGGATTGGTCTAAAAGCTTGGTTAGGTCCATAAGCTGCGATGCTCTATGGATTTAAAATATTTTTAACGCTGCGATGTTGCCGCTTCTTCGAAAAAATAGCATGAACATTGGAATTTTAAATGGGACATCATAAGCATTGTCCGATGGGCCAGTACTTGATTGTTTTAAATAATACGTTCTTATACCCGTCTTCAGCAATTTTCGGTTTCCGAAACACAGATTCAATTAATATTTTATCACTACGGTACTGGAGTCAGTAGAGAGCAAAAATTTTTGGGCCCAGCTTAGGAAAGCACCATCCATTATTTCTTAATATCGAAATAAGTTCTATATTATACAGGGTTGGTCAAAACCAATCATTTGCCTTCGAGATACAAAAATGGTGAAAAGTGCACCTCATAAAAGAAAGGGGAAATTTAGTATAAATGTGTTTTAATTGCAACTAATTAAGTTTGCTAATTTACGGTAAATCATGCAATGCTGCAAAACACCTTCACATATTAATAACAGTGGTAAATGATTTTATCTACAATCTTAGCCTTCAGGAACTTCGCATCTCTTCAACTCTACTTCAACGGATTTTAAAGTGTTTAGAATGAAATGTAAAAATTGGATTCACTTTTCTGTCCAACTTCTGTTTTAAGTACTTAATATTTTTTTAGAGTAAATAGTTTTTTAAATGTATTTTTTAAAATGGTTTGTAAAGCTTTCTTTAATTCTGACAAATTTTCTCTTCTTCATGTGTTGCAAATCAGGATTCGTTTCATTAAATTTTATGCATGTTTAGGCTATAATGTGGTTACGTTGCCCATGCATAAGCAAATTCAGTACAACGTTATTAGAATACTAGTTTCCTTTAATTTTGAACCGATTTGTTGACAAAATCTCCACCATAATCAATTGAAATTGAAATAAATAATTGTTCATTTCAATTTCAATTATTTATTTCAGAAACCCAACTATATAGGTATAGGGATCTCAACATCATAGAAGGGAAATCTAATTTTCTCTTAGAATATGTGATAATATACCGGGTGTTCCATTTAAAAAAATGAACTTCACCATTTTTTTATCTCGTAGGAAAATCATTGGGTTTGACCAATTCTGTATAATATAGAACTAATATCAATATTAAGAAATAATGTCCAGCACCTCCCTAAGCTACGTCCAATATTTTGACTTTGTATTGGATCCAGTGACGAAGTAATAGAAATTTAATTGAAGTTCTGTTTTGGTCGAAAAAATTAATTGATCAAAACTACTTAACTTCTCGAAAACTACTGCAGATAGGTATAGGAACGTATTATTCAAAAACAATTATAAAGTATTATCGGATCATAAAATGCAATAATATTTAATGCACCTGTCGGCGTAAAGGTCTAAGGTACCATCAGGCGTGAAACACCCTGTATATTCATTTCAGCAATTTTTTTTGAAAATTACAATCTTTATCAAGTTATAAACGAACCCACAAGAATTCCAGCAACTAATAGTACGTTGATTGATACGATGTTTGTTAATGAACCGATTTCCGACCATAAATTAATTAATTGAATTTTCAACAATATATATGCAACTTACCGTGGGACAATATCATCTATGAAAACGACATTGATGAGAAAATTACAATATTTGATAATTTACTATTAACATTATTTGATGCACATGCTGCAATTAAAGAATAACGTATAAGTAAACCATAAGTAATAAGTTCTTTGCAACTGGGGTTGACGAAATCTCTACACTTATGATAAGTTGTCACTCACATTATTAATTCTTCCATAGAAGTAAACTATTTTCCAAAAAGCTGGAAAATGTCACTTTTAAAACCATTAGCTAAAAATAATGGCCCGACAAGTTTCAATGACGTAAGAATAATAAGTATATTACCAGCACTATCAAAAACATACGAAAAAGTTCTTTGTAATCAAATGTATACTTATATAATGGATAATAGAATAGTGCCAGAAAGTCAGTGTGGTTATAAACGAAAAACAAGTACTGCGAATGCTCTTATAAGTGTCATTGATGATATTGTCCGAGCCACTGACAAAACACTAATGAGTGCCTTAATACTTTTGGATTTTTCGAAGGCATTCGATATGGTGATTTCCAAGCTGAATTTCCATGGTTTTTCCTCTAATTCACGCGAGCTGATTAAATCGTATTTTTCAAATCGATATCAGAAAATATACTGTGATGGCAGATATTCGAAAGAAATTTAAATTTTCTCTGGGGTGCCGCAAGGTTCCATTTTGGGGCCGTTTTTTTTTATTTACACATCTGACATTTTAAAACCTTTTAATTTTTGCAAAGTTCAGGCATATGCCGACGATACTCAATTGTATTGCTGTTTTGATTTTAATAGTAGCATGGATAGGGGTATTTATAAATCATGATCTTTACAGGATTAGTGCCCATAATTTAAAGTTAAAAATAAAGTTAAGCTACTTGAACAAAATATTAATATAATGTTAAATAATATTAAACTTTCCGTTGTCGATTCAGCAAAAAATTTGGGGTGATCATGGATTGCGATCTAAGATTTCGTGAATATTTAAAAAATATCTTCTAAAAGACATATTTCTCACTAAACATGTTATATAGTAACAGGCACATTTTAAATTTTAGACTAAGGAAAAAATTATGTTCTTATTCTCTCACATTTTAACTACTGAGATGTAGTGTAATGTTTTTTTTTATTGATAACGAGTGTTATTGCCGTATTCAAAGGTTGCAGAATGTTTGTGTTCGTTTTATTATGAGTCTTTGAAAATATGACCATGTATCTTCTGCATATCGTCAACTTAATTGGTTTAAAATGGAACAAAGAAGAGCTCTTCGTTTCAACATATTCGTTATGAAAATTATCCATAACCTACTAGGAGAGCGGTTTACTCCTGTGAATGTAAGAAACAGATCATTACAAATACAATTTTTCTAATAATGTGTTGCAAATTATGTTATTAGCAAGGGATTATACTGAGTTATCAAATTCTTTATCTTCAATTGCATTTTCTGTAGTGTGTAGTAGAGTTATGTTGTTCTTCCGATTTTGCAGGTATTTTTCATACTTTATTTGTTGTTCATCCAATTTTTATTTGAATAAATAGTGCGCTATTTATTAATTATATAAATAGTTCTTTAGCGGTTCAGTACAGTAGTTATTTAAAGCTAGACTGCACCGCTTTTGAGCTATCTGTTTACTTTTCGTTGAAAAATATTAATATTGTATACTGTTCTTTTATGTTATAAGAAAGGCCATTTATTATTATTTTTCCAGCCATATTTCGATTGCTGACTCCTAAAAACACTTTTGACATTAGCTTGCGAACCGCCTGAATAAATAAATTTCCTACCTGTTTATGTGCCGTCCATTTTGTTCAGTACGCTGTGTTTTTCATAAACTGGAGGAGCATCGAAAATTATTGCCAAATTAATATTTTTTAAATTACTCTACACCTTTCTGATATAAAGTTTGAAAAGCGAATGAAAATTTTTGCAGGATTTAAATTCAGAATCTGCCAAGGTCGTAACAGGACCAAGTTTGTTTATTTTTCGAGGGAGAAATAACGGAGCAAACAACAATCGCGTCAATTTTTTTCTGCCCCTCCATCCCCCTCGATACGCCAGTCAGCCGTGACTGTTATCCCATCCGAATGATTTATGGTTTTCGCTGAGAGCCGATCGCCGAAAAAAAAACTTTGATTTACTCCTCTTATTTAGTTTGTTGGGGTGGGATCGGTTTGGGGTGCCAAAGTCACAACGACGCTGCTGGTAGTATTTTCTGCATAAACATTACTTTTTATGCCCCAGTTATGCAAGGGGCGGCGGTAAGTGTGAGAAGATGGTATTTAAAATTGCTCGATTGTTGTCTTTGTTAATGGACTGATTGTTTTTTTTCTTTAAGTTGATTTTCGCTTTGGTTCCAGGCAATTTGGGGCCGGGCGGCTCGATGCGCAGTCGGTAACTTGTCGGTGTCGAAGTTGTCGTTGGAGTTCGCCATGACAGATGACGACGATACGGAAATGGTAAATAAATTTTTCAGAATTCTTTTATAAATTTTGGAAATTAGAAAAGAATCGTCACTAACATTTATGGGTACTAACTCAATATGGGTCTGGTTAAAACATCCCACAAGTTCTTCAATACTTTGAATAACTTTCATGCGTTTCAGTCCCTTCTTGTTCACTTTTCAGACGCTTGTTAGTAAAAAAAATTGTATATTGATGTCAATTTTCCAACAACTTACAAATTTAACAATTTTAGGAACAATTTATTTTAATTATCTATGAGAATATTTTATAATAAACGCTGCACGTCGGGTTAGACTCTTTACAAATTCTTCGGACCTTGGTTTGATTAATCTTCTTCCATTTCAATTCTTTTTTCTTCACTTTTTGAATTATCGTTGTTTGAAAATTTGTATGTCGATGTCAATTTTGAAAAAACTTACAAATATGTCAAAATAATTAGATTTTCTTGGAGAACGGATTTTATTTCGAGAACTTTAGGAATCTCATTTAGGAATTGAATTAGGAGCGTATTTGTATTCCATTTGAAAAAATGTCTCATCGTCAACTTCTATGTTTTATAAATACCCTGTATATCGCAAAAGTATTTATTTTACGTTCGAGCCTGCTAAATATTTAACCCTCCCAGAAATACAAATTTAACTTGGCAAGACCGCAAGATACAGATTTAAGGAAATATTTTACATAAATAATCTAAGACGAGTACTGGAAGGAAAAAATGAACATACAGGGTTGTCTCATTTAAAAAATCAAACTTGTCCTTAACTTGCGATAAAAGCGGCACCATCGTGACACAAAAAATATTTTAAATCGATGGTTTGCGACACACCTTGTATACATATAGTTATATTTTTAAATGTTATTTTTTAAATGCTTTTTGTTTATTATTTCATTGCATTCGAAAAATGTTAAAATGTTAAAATGAGATATTAAAAAAATATAATTCAAGTATTAACCGTACATAAGATAAAATATTAACGAACAAAATTTGATGTAGAATACAATTACAATTTGATATTTTTATTTCCACTTATTTTAAAATAGGATCCGCCATTCCGATAGAGGGAAATATTAGTATTAATAATAATAATAATAATAATAACAATAATGATAATAACAATAATAATAATAAATAAATTTTATTGGCTGAAAATTAATTACAGAAAACATATTTGTGTATATTATATATCATTATCCGCATTTTAGCAATTTAGAACTGGTCAAAAAAAGTTAAAAGATATCCGCAAAATTATATATCTAGAAATAAGAGCTAAATTGTATTAAAGTTATATTTTCAAAGAACAACAGAAGTGATAGAGAAAAAGGGAAAATAAAAATAAAAAGGAAATGCGTATTAACAATTAAGATATAATCCACAGCACTAGCCATTATCCAAGAGGGACTGTTTGCATTTTTTTTTAACAATTAATACTCAAACATTTAAATTGTCTAGGGGCACCGTTGTATATGTAATGGTTTTAAGAAAACGATCTTTTATAAAGTGCGATATAGTGAGGAGGACGCGAAATGTAACTCTGAAATCTTAAATTTAAATTATGAATGTCGGTTCTGTATTGAATTTTATTTACTAAATAAGAGGGGCATTGATTGTTGAAGACTGTTAAACAATACAGCAGAATGCAATTTTCGTCGATTTTCCATCGATAACCATTTAGTTTCTCGTAACTTATGTGATATTGGCATCCTGCCTATACTGTGCACAAATCGTAGGATTTATGTACCCTCTGAATTGTGTGTTTATCTATTTTATCCAAACATGGTCCGTACATTACTTCACAAAAATGTTTAAATTTATATTATCCCATCATATAATTTCACAATCCAAAAAAATCCGATAATGCTTCCTTAATAATATTAACAATATTTAAAAAATTTCCTTTAGGTGACCTATAGAGTGAACCAAAAATATAGGCAGTGTTGAATATTCTTATTTCCACCCATAGAGTGAACAAAAAATATAAGCAGTGTTAAATAATATTGTTTCCACCCGTATCTCCTTTACGGCTTCCGCAGAGGTAGAACATACTATATCGTATTTAAAATTACTACTGACATACATACCAACGTCTAATGAACTTATAACCTTTGTCTGAATGTTCTCAGATGTAATATTCGGTGACCATGTCTCATAAACTCTTATTACATCATATTCAATTTGTTCAACTAGTGCCCTAAAATCTATGAAACGTGGCAAGAGACCACTGATATTCTTCATGTTGTTTATATCAAAAACAAGTAAATTATGTACACTATCGGCGTATTTAAATGCCGCTCAGCCTTTATTCGGAAATTTTCTTCCTCAGTCCTCCGCCAAATTCTGTAAAAATGTTGCCTCCTAATGTCCTCACCCAGTTTTTCTTTGACTAGAAGCAATACTTCATGCCTTTCTTTTGCTAATTCTTCAGTTATCACGACTTTACTATTCTTCAGTTTCTTTTTCCTGGGATAGACCAGATTTCGTTGATGCACACTATCACAATTGACAATTAGCGCTCTATTTTTGTTCGGAATTTGTGAACCCATACGATAGCAGTGAACCAAAAACATTTTTAAAAAGTTTACGTGGTCTGTGACTCTGATTTTCAAGTTATAGGTGTCGCTACGTCTAGTGAAATATAAAATTCGTTTTTTTTAAACAAACAAACATCAATTTTCCCACTCAAAAAAACCAATTTGTCGCTAAAATGTTTTATAAAAATATTGCCGTAACGCCTAACAAAACAAATTGTGATTAATCGAAAATAATCAATGTTATTTTAAATATTTCGTTACTCGTAATATTTTGAGACCCCGTCTGACCGCAAAAAAAAACAGTAAACCCGGTTTATTTTCCCACAGGAATTTTATGCAAGGCAATAACAGACGGGATTGCGCCAGTGAATTCGGTCAATAGTAACATATTTTCTCGGAATATCCTCTATAAAGTTGGAAATGTTAGAAAATCGAGGTTGCTTTTTGGGTATATTGGTAATTGGTAATTTTTATTATTTCCAACAATGTTGTCAATAATATTGAGAAATTTCTTTACGAAAATAAAATGGGTCAATTTAATTTTTCATAAAAAAGTGCTCTTTATAAATAAATAAATTAATTTCTTGAATACTGCACACAATTTTTTTGACGGAAAATTTATTCGAGCCAATCCACTCGAGTTTAAATTTCTAAAATAGTACTATTGTGTTTAATTTAATTACAGGAAAAATTAAAATTATGTTTTTGATAAAATCGTGCCAATTAGGTTGTAAAGCAAAAATTTGTTTTATTAAGCTGATTTTTAAATACGCCCGACATTATAAGGGATTAACAACATTGCGTATTTGAATAGGTGACTTGAACTAAATTTTAATTTGCAGAATATTGCTTATACAATTAAGTTTATCTTATTAAAAAAAAACAATTTACAAAAAATTTCGTAATTCTAAATAACAAATATAAATTGTAAAATTTAAATTCTCTTTGAAATGCGCTGTCATTGGCTGTGGCCGGTTGTGACGTCAATTCGCTAGTAAGATTACACGCCAGCCATTAGAGAACTACAACGCATTCGGCTTGGTGGTTTTCATATTAATTTTAGTCTTGTGTTGTTGAGTATCAAAAAGAAAGTTTTGGAATGACCGAAGCCGATTTTTTAATAGGTCAATCTTTACCTTTAGTTAATATGTTAATCTTGACATCTTACATACAAAACATCGAAAGTATTTCTTTTGCTGATGTAAATGTAAAAAAAAAACAGAAAGGATTTTTTTAAACTAGTGGAAATCCAAACACTGATTTTAAAGTATATTGGCATTGATAATTTAAAGTGTTCCTTATTTTGTATAAATCAGGAACCCATTTCTAGGGAGACTGCAATAGCTTGAGTGTAAGTTCGAAGAGTTGAAATTATTTGCACAGTTAGGGCTAAAATGATACCTGGGCATAATGTTAACAAACAACGACAGCTTTTATTTTCTGGTAGACGAATAAAAAGTTTATACACCTCTACAGGAGCCAAAAATAAACCTAAATAATATAATTCTCGGCCTATAACCCGAGAATAACCTTATAACATGTCTCCGTATCGATCAAAAAACAGCGGTATGACGTCACGATCATTCCCGCTCGTTTAGTGTTGTTTAAAAACAATAGTCGGGTGTCAGAAATTGTTATATTTATTGCAACTTAAATATTAGGTTTTGAGTTTTGATTATTATTGTATTAAAGAAATAAAAAAAATATTCATGTCCGTTATTCTGGACCTAATTTCTGACAACCAGCCTGTACGTTGTGTCCTCGAGACGTTTTATTCAAGAAATCAACTTGATGACCTATTATAAAAATATATATTTATTTTAAGAAATTTAAATTAATGCCTTAGTTGATAGTGGTACGCAGTGTGAGCGATAGATGGAAATTAAAAAGAGGTGTTGTACTAGTTTTAAACTGACAATAAATGAATATTAATTAATGTTCTTCACGAACCATACATGTAAATATATACAGTGGCAACTAGCTTCCTCAATTTATTTCATATCCCAAAATGTCATTTAACAATACAATCAGCTGATAGCATTTATAGTTTTTTTGACTGTTCCTGTTTAATCTCCAGTCTGTTCTACAGAAAAATAAAAATTATACACAGGAATTAGACAAAAATCTGCCTTTGCTCTTATTGCTGCTAATATCGAAAGAAGGTCAGGTCTTGGCTGGAAAATTAAAATAAAGCTGACCTAAAAATGGTTAAGGAAGAGTTTAAAAAGGACTCTAGGCTATTCAAAGCGTTTTGGGATGTCACAAGGTTTGATGAAATATTTGGTCGTTTGAAAGACCATGTACAGTTTTGGAATATAAGTTTTCACTATTTTGTTATTGCTACGAAATGTTTGTAGAGTAATTAAGTTAAGTCAATTAAGTTTCTGCTATTTTTTTGCTTACACTTTTATTAAAGATAAGAAAAATAAATAACAAATATCCGAAGGTCGCGTATACTGTTACGA